GATGGATGGATGGATGGATGGATGGATGGATGGATGGATAGATAGATAGATAGATAGATAGATAGATATTAAAAAATATGTTAAATATATTTATAAAGTGAGTATATTTTGGATAGGGTGTAATTTGACGTCTATATAATATAATATAAATACCTATAATACAATATAAATATTATTAACTTTTTTTTTGGATAAACGTGTTTTTTTTATATAAATAATAATAATGTAAACATTTACAAATATTATAAATATATATTATATATATATTATAAATATTATAAAGTAACAACTTCAAGCCACTAACATCTTCTCTCTCTCTCTCTCTCTCTCTTTCTCTCTCCCTCTCTCTCTCTCTCTCTCTCTCTCAAGGGTTGGTTGTGAGGGCTCGTCTTTCACAAGAGGCGTTGCTCTTCAGCCGTGACTGTTCTCTGCGAGCAAAAGAGAAATTTCCGCTTCCTGCAACGATAAACAACTAGCGCAATTTGAGAAACATTTCGCAGCGACTTTGACGGTGAACGGCGGGTCCGACTGTCGCGATCAGCAGAACCGAGCCTCGGTCCTCGTGGACGGATGATTGTGCTGCAGTAGAGGATCGGCGTTTTTTTATTCGGGTTTTCCTTCATTGTTTTCAAACATAAGGTTCCTCCAGCATGTCGGAGCGGGGAGGGCTCCCGAGGACTGGAGGCGTACCGTCTCCGCAGCCCTCCAAACCGGTGGCGATCACCTCCAATCGGCCGGTGCACATGAACCTGTACGCCACCTGGGAAGTGGACCGATCGTCGCCGAGCTGCGTGCCGAGGTAAGGCGCCTGTGCGCCGGGGAGGGAAGCAGCGGTGCACCGCCGAATAATCCTCGAGGTTTCCTTGACATTTATCCACACAAAGGACAACACAATGAGTTAAAGCTGGAGGGAACACGATAGTGGAGACAGCTAGATGTAATTAAATGAACAAAATTAGCCTTGACAGATTTCAGCACGATATGTGTTGCGGTTTGCAGCGAAAGCGACGTGAAGAATGATCGGTGGTTGAATCTGAACGCGACAGTGCGGTAAAGACAACCAGAACAATTTCTGCTTAACAAAGAGAGCTGGGGTGAACTGTTCAGACATGCAGGGCTTTATGTATTGTATTCCAGCCTGTCAGGGGTCTGGGATATGTGTCTGGAATGCTGGCACGGGAACTGCATGCTTTGTGTAGCAACCTGCTGTAATGGACTAATGGATAGCGATTTAGCGTTACCGATATTGCTTTTTTAATGACCTGTGTTGATACAGATATTATTAATAGTAGTAGTAGTAGTAGTAACAATAATTACTAGAAAAAATATTGTTGTTATTATTAGCAGTACTATTATTTCCTCCAAATTATGCAATTATCGGTACAACCAATATTGACGAACTAAGAACCGATTTTTACCCTTAATTGGTAGTAATCCTAGTTAATCTTATTCATGCATTTTATTTCATCTTGGGAATGGTCTAAAATAAATATTTTGAACGCTGAGTTGTTGTGAATAAATTTGTGTAATACTAGTTTAGTATGTCAGGGTTTCATGCATATTCTAAATTTGGAATGGTATGGAATTGGTTTGGGATGCTGGCCGATGTAATTTTACAGTAGAGCTTCATGCTTTTTATTCCCATCTGCTGTTCTGAAAAACATTGGAGTATATTATAAATTGTAGTATCCCAATATTGTAATATATGACCTGTATTTGTGCAGAAATTATTATTACTACTACCAGTAGTTATAGTAACTACCAGTAGTTGCATTCCATGCTGGGAATAGTCAGAAATATATATTTGAAATGCTGAATTGTTGGGAATATATTGGTGTAATATATCCTAGAAATGCTGGTTTAGCACGTGTAAAAATCAAGGCAATTATATTCTAGATAGGGATTGGTATGGAATTGGTGATTGTAGAGTTTGATGTGTTGTATTCCAACCTGACATTCTGGAAAATCTTGGAGTAAAGGATAGCGATTGATTGATATTATATTTCATGACCCATATTGATACATATATTTATTTATTTATAATTGTTTTATTATTATTATTATTACTACTTCCCAAATTATGCCATTTATTGGTTGACCCAATGTTAGACAACTGAGAACCAGCATTGTTGAGAGTATATTGTTAGATTGCTGAATTGTTTGGAATATATTGGCATAATAGATCCTAATATGTACAGGGATTCATATGTTGTATTACTGGGAACAGTCTTGTATATATTGGCTTGGGATGCTGAAGAGCTTCATGCTTTGCATTCCAACCTGGTGGTCTGGAATATGTTGCAGTCGTGTGGTAGTAGATAGCTATGCCGGTTTAGAATGTGTGGAGATTCATGCATTCTGTTCTAAATTGTGAACGGTATGGAATTGGTTTGGGATGCTGCCATGGTAACTAGCGTTTCAGGCTTTGTATTCCAGCCTGACACCAGCGTTGCATTACCCTACATTTGTGATCAGGTGAACATGCATGTGTCAATGTTCAAAACAATCGTTCCTCTTGAAATCCAATACTCCCTGCTGCCTATTGTTTTCGCCTGGAGTTAATATCGGCTACGGATACAGACAACACAGACATGTGAAATGGCTGCCCATCGAAGCTAATTGGTTTATTTGTATTAAATGTGTATTGATGGAGCAATTGGTATAGATCTGGGTTACACAGCATGTGCTTGTGTTGTGCATGGCATCATGCTGCTGGTATCGACAGGAAACTCTAAAAATAAAACAAAATATTGATTGGCTTGTTGATGTTTCGTGTTTGGCCGGAGCTGATGGCTGTATTCAAAATGTAATACATTAGGGAAAGAGCAAAGCGCTCTCCTTACCTCTACTATCATCTTGCTCGGGACTGCTATTAAATATTAATGTGATCTTGTTTTATGTCTAAATCAGGTGGACAATAGCCCTGTAACTCACCCGGCTACTTAATTAGAGCTAAAGATGGCACAGTGGGCGGCACAGGGCACCCGTGCGGCGCGTGTCTGATTTCTGACCGTGTTGTGGGTTTTTGAGTGTAAATGTGTGCATCTCAGTGAAAAGACGGAATAACAGGCAGTAGGAATGGGAATTGACGAGCATTAACAGCACACACCCCCATTCAAATTGGACATAATGAAACTAATGACTAAGATTTCAATGAATAAGTCAACAATCGCTCTGGGCTGCGTTTCCCAAAAGCGTCATAAACCTAAGTAGATCATGACAAACATTGGCACCAGTGGCCTCTATGATCTGTTCACTTTTGGCAAATGCAGTTCTGACTGATTTAGTCGTTAGACAGATTCAGTTCAATAATATGATTACACCGATAACTACAACTATAAACTATGAGAATAGGAATGTCCACACCACAACTATAACAATAAAAACACAGAAGAACAAGATCTTTGGAATCACTCTAAAACTTTCAAAACATTGACAGCCAATAAGAATTCAGACGAGTTTAAAGAGCGTGTACATTTAAAGAGGCAGACGACAAAACTGCATCGCTTATTTATTAGGATAAACAGAATGTTGTTGTCCGTTGGTGCAAACAGTATAGTTATCTTTATACTTATCGTTCTTGGTGTGAACGGGCCTTAAATTGTTTTCACAGATTCATCTAAAATAAAATAACATACAAGTAGGGCTGCACGATTATGACAAAAATCATAATGGTCGATTATTCCCCTGAAATTGTAATTGCGATTATTAATTACGATTATCACAATTTATATTGAATGATGTTTATACCATTGTTTGATGCAACTGCATGCCGTATTTTTATATGAAAATAAACAAGCTGAAAACACTCTTAACTGAAAAACCTTTAGTGCTTTTCTATAGTATTAAGCCGCAAATGTCAACTATGCATCGGATTGGTTTCTTCTTTAAATTATAAAAAAAAAAAAATATGAATGGTATTATAATGTTATACTAAAATTAAAATAATGGGAAAAACCCTTAAGATAACATGTAGAAAGAAAAAAAACACATCTTAAGCGTGCAGAATAACATAAGTGGACTTTGAACGATTAATTGCCGCTTTGAACGATTACGTAATTGTGGCATCCATAATTGTAATCACGATTAAAAATTTGATGAATTGTGCAGCCCTACTCACAAGAGTAGGTCCGTTGCTCATTCTGACTGCACTGGTTGTATTGTATGTTTGTTAACGTAGCGTTGGCGTAAGAATGCAGCTGTTCAAAAATAGTTCAAGTAACCAAACGTCTCACAGATTTTCTACTCCGGTTTCTTTTGCAAATTAAACTTGATATGAATAAAAGCCCGTTCAAACCAAAGATGATAACTATATTAGTGTCCACACCAATGCACAATAACATTTTGTTTATTATAAACACTCTACAGTTACGTCGTCTGCTGCTTTAAAGGTTCGAACTCGGATGTCGGATGGATTCTGATTGGCTGTCATGGAGAGTCAGAAATCTCAGGTTTCATTAAAAATGTCTTCGAAGATTAACCAAAGCGTTGTTGGTTTGGAACCACATGATGGTGAGTAAATGATGACAGAATTTTCTTTTTTGGGTGCACTATCCCTTTAAGAACACTTCTCTATTTGCAGCCCTATGAGTGATTGTAGCATGTGTGCCGTCATTAGTATCTGCATGTCGATGCTTTTGTTGTCGCAGGTCTGTCATCTGTCTGATATTTGTTAAGATAAAATCCCCCCTTGCAAAAACCCCTCAGCGTCTTTTGGCAGCTGAATCACTGATCGGTGCCAAAGGCCAGCAGGAAAACAGACTGACACCTCATTCAACACAAACAACAACACGTTACAGTCCACCTCAGTATGCAATTATATTCACACTTCTGCCGCACACTTCCCCATAAAACCTTCAATAATGGGATGTAAGCAAGCATTCAGTAGCTTAGTCTTTGAAAATCACGTCGATTAACCACAAACATTGACGTCTTTGACACCAAAAATTCGCACATGTTTAGTAGCTGAATGTTGACACATCATTTCCTAATTCTGGACAGGAACGTGCAGGCATTTTTATTTCAGTCTGTTCCTCACACAAAGCTATCATATGGCTTTATTTGACCTTTAATATAGAGCACAAGCCGTATGCACCACTTTTTGGTTGTATCCTTATCTTTAGATAATAATCTTCGTTTTTGGAGTGAACTCTTCTTTTAATTATGAATTATTTGCATTTGTTTGAGGCTGTGGCATATTTTCAGTATTACAGACGCCGTTTGTTTCCTGTTCATCTGTTTCCCTCTGCAGTCTGAGGGCTGACGATGTCACATCCTTTTGTTTGCGCTGCCGCTGATTTCTGGAGTCACACTTTGTTCACCGGATTTGATTGCTGAGGGCAGAAAGACAGCGAACGAAGCCGCCAGTCTGAGAGACGAGGACGGAGTGGAGATGCAGAGAGGTTTCACGCTGAAGATGTGAATTAGGGAGCGAGGGAGTGCGGGGAGGGATGATAGGTTGAGGGTGGAAAGGTAATCGCTGCTGCCGCAAGATTCTGAGACAGAGAAACAAAACTGTGTGGCACCCAATCAATACCGGCCGGCCGCCACTCGAAAAACTATCTAGTCTGAGATCCGTCTGAAATTGAATTCGCCTTGCTATCTTCAAGGGTGCACAATAAAATGGATGCTACGGCTGAATTCGGCACCGACTGCCACAGAGAAGATTGCCGTTTCTAGTCTAAATGAAAGAACTTTTTGTCTTTTTCCCTGGTGTTATTGGGAACAATTCATCTGTGCAAATTATCCCAAACTACTTTTATTCTTTACTCCAATCTGCTATTGAATGCCCACTTCTCA